TAGAAGAAGTAAACAAATGAATGCCAAATTTAAAACTGTTTTTGAACTTTGAATGACCAGCCGATAAAGCGAAATATTGGTCTTACTGTTTCAAAATAAATTGGTCACTTGGTTTGTAAATATTTATGAATGCTCTGTAGATTATTAAAACCTTGAACATCGATAGACAGTGATTGTTTAACAACTGGGCGTAGGGAAAAGTGACTGCAGCCAGCCACCTTCGAAATTAGATGCATCTGCGACTGAATCAAGCATGCTAGACCAGGATGTGGGAACGTCGCCGGTCCGGCCACTTCTGTTTCCGAATAGCGCGAGAGCCGAGTCGCTTGTGGGAATTCTATGAATATCAAAGCGTATACAGTGGAATCTATTTCGGTCTAGACGCGGTCACAGTCACTTTGTACACCGACCATTTCTAGGAATAACAAGTGAAATGTATTAATAAAATGCCTCGGCGAACACAGCCGATTGTGTAATGAATGTATATGATAGTTTTAGTAAATAAGTGTGCCAAAGAGGTAATTTCAGGAGGCGGTGTCTAGGTCACGTCGTCTGGCCCGTCGCCTCTGTCTCCGATGCTCTGCCATGGCGAGCCCCGATTGTGCCACTGGCCCAGACAGATCGATCCGAGTTGGCTACCGCGTCTACATTTACCATGACCGTCCACTATGTTACATAACGAGGCATTAAAATACCGATTGGCGTTTTAAAAAGCTCATTTACGGTAAATGTCACAGAATTTCGCCGGGTTCACGGTGGCAAAAATGAAAGTGCGAAATTGGAAAAGTCGTCGGCAGCGGTGATATTAAAAACCTTTTGTGGGAGACAAAATAACTCGGACGAGCCTTCATAGGCAAGCCCTAAAAATAGCGTTTAATTTTGCGGCAAAAGGACGGACTTTAATTATTGAAATAAACGAGGGCTTCCCCTAAAAACGCGTGACATGAAGGCATTTTCCCATTTGCGCCGTTGTTCAAGACTTATTTTTTATATCAATTATTATTTCCAAATTGTCGTTTTCTTTTAAAAAATTACTATATTATTGAGGTTCTTAATTTTCTGCAAAAAACTGTCACAATTGTAATAAAAATAAGAAACATTTTCGTATAATTGCACATAAGGCTGTAACTTTTATTAAAATAAAATTTAGTAATATTGTCCTATTTAATTCTACAATTTAGATCTACATCTGTATTTTGAGTAAAAAGTAGTATAAGTAGTATATGACCGGGACATATGACCGTGGTCGACGTTCATCACATCTCTTGATAGCTCCCCCAGATTCCCAATGTAGATTTTCGGAGGGATTTTTGCTTCGTGGTCGCTGATTGGTTTCTGAGAATTTCCCAGAAAATTCAAAACATCGTTTTTTATTGGCTTTCCGCCATGATCTTTGACGATCGATCGTTCTGGCAATGGCATCAGGCTCTGTGGTCGCCATTCGCTCTGGTTCAGTGTGTTTAAAAAGATTTATGCCTTCGAGATAGATCCTTGGGCAAAATTGGAAAGATCGGTAAAAACCTTAATTCTAACCGGAGCTTGGCTAGATTTTTTGACGTCGATCGGAAACATAGGTGAAATCTGTTTTCCTCTCTAAATTGAAACATTTTTCTCCTTTTTTCGTATCTGTTTTAATCTCTATTTTATTAGTACTCCATCCTATGCTCATTTTTTTTAACGTTTCCATTTCACAGCTATCTGGGAAAGCTCCTTAATGGAAAGGACGTACTATGAAACACTTTTGTCATCCACGAAATAGGTATTTAGGACTTGAATAGTAGAAGTAGTCACTTCTTCATCATTCACCGACTACACGAAAGAAATATTGTCATGAAAATTCATAAAAATGTTCATAAAATCTTGATAGGAATATATCGTGTGAAAATTCAACGTTTGCGTTGGGGTTATTTTCGTTACGGAGTTGTTACTAACAAATTGTATTGGAAATATTTTAGGATTCCTAACATTCGAGGCTTCTGATTGTCGCAAGTGGGGCACCTCACCAGATTGAGTAATTATCCTGAATTCACCACGTTATTTCATAAACGCTAAAAGATCAACGCTGAGGACATACCGTAGGTAGTTCAAGGAAGAAACTAATCATTACTGTCATGTTTAATATACTTTACGTGCTTTCGCTGCGGGTTCTATTTTCGAAATATTAAACAATTGCTTAAAATAAACATAAAAAACGTTAAAAACATTTCCAGCTGGCGACGCGGTAAATATTTTTACCGAGTTTCTGGAATATTTGCAACAAATAACGGATTGCGTCACATAGAGGAAATTGCTTAATTTAACTTATTGATCAAAATTCCTACCATCAGACAGAGAATTTAATCTGTTTACATCTACGCTGAAGTGTGATGTCACGTTGTAAGCCACGTGTAATCAACTCGACTTTGTATCATTAGAGCAGTTGTTTCAGTTTTGCGACTGTGTGAATTTACCGTCTTCGCGTAGAATAACAAATAATGGAGACTTCGTGAAATTGTGGAACTTACTTACTATTTAAACTGAATAAATAATTAACATTGTTGAAAAACTGAAGCTATTTATAAAGCTACTAAAGTGTACTTTTTCTATCCCTGTTCGATTTTGTATTACAAAGTTGTATCGCACAGAATCCACACTGTAAGCCTGACACTGGTGTTCGAGGCAGCAAACGAAATAAAACCGAATTTTTATTTTGTCTGGGCCGGACAAGTTGAGCAGCTATATGCAAATATTTAGCCGTTTCTTTTCCGAAAAAAAACTAAAACCGCCAACAAAAATGCAGTCCTGAGACGTGCAACATGAGACTGCAATTGCTTTTGCATTCGAAATTATGCTCTTACGGCATTTTTTATTTTATTTTTTTAGTCCGACGCGTATGTCGGGTTTATTTACCAGCGCATAAATTTGCATCATTTTTATTTATTTTTCGATGGAAGGAACCACCGCGAGTATTGTTGTCTTTTATGTTATTGACGCTTTTCGTGATGTCAAATAATACGCTTCTGCCGCACGGACGAAGGTATGGTATTGACTGACTGCTTATTAGCATCTCCAGAAGCAAATAAAAAGCTTTTGCATGTCTGGCCACAGTTTGGGTGAAACAACACCTTTGAAATTTTTCACAGATAAAATTTATTTGCCCATAATATAAATAGTAACAAAATGATCAAATATATACAATGGTATTTAAGACAGACAATAGTGGACGTCAGAAAAAATATTACCAGAATTAGATGTTAAATGGAACATCTGTAATAGAAAGTGCTCTTAGGATTAGAATTGTAAATGTTTGATGGGTTGTATGGCTAAAAGGGCATATCAACTGCCATAAAAGCATTGTTAGACCAGATTGGACATGAGATTTGGAGTTACTATGAAAACTACGTCAGTAAAATCAGTTTTCGTATACGCTCTGTACTGTACATAAACAACTCTTTAGTATTTTAGATTTATAAATTGTTTGTTTTTAATAAACTTACTCAAAATATTAAATCCAATAAAAGCAATAATTATTTAAATTTGAAAACAATTCGTAAACAAATGTGAGCTTCTGATTATCGCCCATTAAATACTGTAATTTATATTATGCTTTCGAGCAAACTTGACTATCAGGAAATTTGAGAGAACGTGCGTCAAAGGGGGACTTATCAGATGAATCATAAGATCATTGTTACTCACTCGCGTTTCTTACAAATTTATTATTTGTTTGCTCGTCTCGTCTGTATTTACCTGAATGCCCAGATCCATAACATTCGTAAGACGGACTCATATTTCATATTTTTTTCGTAACGATATTTCCTCTGGAGTTGTGAAGACCCTTAAAAGGGTAATTTTCCGCCAGACATTACGACTACACTGACGGACGAATTTGTTTACGACCGTATTAGCTTAATCTTCGTTAGAATAAATATTTTGCCGTTCAAATTTAATTAAGTTCAAACAATAATGGTTGTCACTTCGTATAAAAGTTGGAGTTGAAAATGAAAAATATGTCACTAATTATTCAACAAAAAAAAAATACTTTTTATTTTCCCTGAAATAACTTAATAGTTTTGCCACATATGTTTGTATCAGTGCAATACTTCGAAATTTCATTTATTTGTAATTTTAAAAAATTATTTTTGTTTTGATATTAACATAATTTTTAAATACTTTATATGTATGTAATTTCAACCTCAGTGTCGCTGCTCGAATCCAATTTTTTTTTTTTTCGTAAAACTACCAAGTAAGGAAAAGGTCGACTTTTATTAAAAAATATATATAAGTAATAATAAGCGCAATGACAGAAAAACGTTCATTACAAGGTAACACACTTGTTTACGACCATACTCTTGAGTCGCAGTATGGACATGGTATTTAATAATTTCATAATTTTTTTGCGTCAAAACTAAGTCATCAGAATCAACATTGCCGTAATGTTTATTTCGAAGGATAAATAGTGTATGAAATCATTTGCGAAATTTTACAGCGCACCTTAATTGAACAGAAAAATATTTTTTATTTGCTTTAGTTGTCCAGTTCCTCTGAAGTTCATAATAACAAGTGTATATCCTCTAAATTGAGAAATATTTAAAACTATAGGTCTGTACCTACAATTAATGAACCCGTCGAGTAAATTGGCCTAAAATCAAGCTGTCTTCGTTCTGAAAAATTTTATAAATAAAATAAAATTGTAAAGCCCTTAAACACCAGGATTTGAATTAAATGAAACAAATACAATTTATTAGTCAATTAAATAACAATTTTAAACTAAACATAACTCTACGAAGCAAAAAACAAATTTTTCAGTTCGGATCCATTTCGTAATACGCATTTACACCTCACACAATGCGTGCACAGTAATGGCCGATGCTGTTCTCCGTTTACAAGCTCCGTAATATTTAATTTTAGAAAATAAATTTATTTCTTACATGTATTTGCATTTGGAATTGTACATTAATATTACCAATACTAGTTTTAAGCAAATTTTTTCCTCCCTGCATCACTGACATGATTTGTTCCAGCTGGGGCGGTGAGCGCGTTTGGCATTATCCTGGTGGTGGTCCTGCTGACAGGGGCGGTCTTGGGGCTGGTCACGTGCCTGCTGAGCCACCAGAGGGGTACGGGGGGCGCCAGCGGGGCGGGCACGCCGGCCACCCACCCGCACCACGCCGCGGATTCTCCGACCACTGCACCCGTAAGTAAAATTTTTTATATAATTTTATTTTTTTTCGAAAATGAAGAGTCCGAAATTTAACATAATAAAATAAATGTTTTAGAGAATGCTTAATTTCTCCGAAAAAAATTCTCTGGCACGTCGATTTTGTTTTTTCTTTTGCCGCCGATTGCATAATTACTTAATAATTATTTATATATTTCGTACAGGTGCAAGAAGCCGATGCTCCTTGCATATGCAGGATTGTTTATAGTGCGATGAAAAAGACTTCAGATCCACAATATCACAATATGACATTCGAGAACCTGGGACTAACCAAATCTAAAACAAAATTGTGATAATTACAATAACTAGAAAAAATCCGGTCTAAAATTGATGCTTTTCTGATACAGATACAAGTTATTACACTTTTTTAAGGACCCATTTCAAGAAAAACATATCAAAGTGAGGCGCGAGTCCGTCAGACATTTCCCAACCAGCTTACAAACATATGTAAACCGCATTAATTAAAATGTTTTTATGAAGTTCCTGTGCAAACAAGATTTGGCGTGTGTCCAGTGTTCGACCTGATAAATAACATTGTTGGTACAATACTTCATTGTCGCGAACCGCCCCACAATAAACTCGCAGGTATGCACGGCACACCGCGTTGCGGTAGACAAAAATTGCCCAACAAATTAAGTCGTGATTCACGGGAATAAATTATTCAGTGTGTGTGTGTGTGTGTGTTTTCTTGACGTTCCGAAAGACAAATTTTAATTTGCTTGGACCTTGTCTCTAATGTAATAAGTCATCCAAATTAAATGTATGATTTTCGACGTCGAAATAACTTTATAGATAAGATAAAAAAGTCGTGCGACAGCTTACTAACGAATAAATACGTATAATAATATAATAATGTTGATAAGGAAGCTCACCTACTTACGTTTTTAATTCCTTAATTAGGCTTTTGATTGTTTGCAAATTTATCATTTTCGTAATCCCTTTCTAGAACATTCCACAGCGCACTTGATTTGGTTCAAGAAGATTGCCGGCAAAAGGGACAGTCTGCTTTGTCTTTGGGAAAGACAGAGGGACTGAAATATAAGAGTAAGAAAAATAACTCAGTTGCTATTGGAATTGAGGTCTATTAATTTTGTATTATATAAAATCCATTTAGTATCGTTGAAAACGCATTGATGGTTAAGTGCTGTCCATATTACACTGTAATCAGAAGTGGGATGTTCCACGAGGTGGAGTTCGAGAGCTAGTGCGAAAGCCAAGGCCTACAGAAATGAAGTAAACTTTTAATGGATATAAGAAGAATGACCGAAATGAATAAAATATATGAAAAAGAAAAAACCAAGCTGAAACAAAGACCACTTTATGAGGAATAACCAAGAATAATTATGAAATGAAGTGAAAAATCGCCAGTAAGAAATGATTAACTGAGATTTTGTGTACAACGGAAATAAATCTATATTTACTACAATAGACATAAAAGCGTCTATAAATACAAGAATATAGTAAGAAAGAACCCATGTGAACTATCTACTGTTAACAAAACGTTTCGTCAAGTTTTGGAAAATAATTTTTTTTATAATTCCACCCAACGACTCTCTGGGACAATAGGTATGCAGGGGTTAGACGAACAGAGGGGATATACGAAATAAGTTCCATCCCCACAGCGGCACAGCGCAAAAAACTGAATGCGAAGCATGGCAAATATTGACTGCGAGGAGCGGCGCTAGAAATAATTCATTAGCAATTTAAAATTCGGCCGGCGGCGGGTAACTTTTATGCAAATAGGCAGGCGTGTATGGTAAAAAATTGTATATAAAGTAAACATGCGTAAACCAACTTTTTCGGGAGAGAATTATTGCACAAAAGGAATTGTAGCGAGCCTAAATACATTTTGTGGGAAGTTTCCGAATGATATTTTAGTTTACCATATTTAAATTTATTATACAGGGTGTATGGGGGTTAAATGCCGGTTCATAGGATTGTTATACTCGGATTACCATCAGTTAACTAATGATTTTGACTAAGTTGTGTTCAAACCTGTTTAGAATTTATTAAGAAAAATAAATTCATAGACATGTACCTTTACCTATTACATTTTCCTGTTTCCTGTTTGAGTCCGGCGCCATCATTTTGAAACACGGCAATCATAAAATAGACGTAAATTTCTGAAGCGGTCAAGATATGTTGTTCTGAAAAATATGTTTGTCTTTCAGCTCAAACAACTGTCTAAATTCGTACTTGTTCGCAAAGAACGGTGTATAATGTTAACACTTCCGCCCTTTTATAACGAATGTACTGTAAGGCAACGGTACCATCACAATGCGAACGGTACCTAGGAATTAGGTTATGAATTGTCTGGATTGCCGTACCTTGCTGTGTCCACAAACGTTTGAAATGGTGAAATTTATGTTTATTGCCATTGTGTCTATATATACCTTGTGATAGATGAGTGAGATTTTATCATTTTCCTTTCCTGGATTTGTTGTCGAGAACCGAGAAAATTGTGCAGAAAACATTTTCTGTATCTACCGATCGGCTCATATCCTTCAAAGTCTCCTTCCGGTAGAATTTTTAAACACATCTTTTATTCAAATGAGAATTGTCTGAATCTGATTATTCGTTGATTTTAATGATCCTCGTATAAGGAGGTGATTATGACGTTTATTAAAAAAATGCACTACACAATGTTGTGACAAAGTAACCCAATTTTTTTTCGTTGCATTTTTCGCCTCGAGTGTGTTGCAATGACTTTCAGAGGTTGTTTTTCTGACCCTGATTTAAATATTGCGAATTGTTGTGCTGAAGGTGCAGATAATTAAATGAACCTTGACGCGTTACACGTAGTGGCGTGTTGCATCGAAACGTAATAGGATACACTGAGGAAAGAATTTAGTTAGAAGACGTCAAATTTATTGGAGCTCATTAAATCATTTTTTTATGTTTGGCAAATCAAAGATTTATTTATTTGAATCCTTCGATTTCACTCAACTTTCGAACCCGACCTACGAGCGGAAAACCAAACCAAGAGTAGTTGCCGATGCTCGAGAGCGCTTAGCCGACCATTCCTATGAAGCACAAGACGCTGTTATTATCACCTATGTTTCTCCACAGGGCGATCGCCAACAACCCTCACGGTTTCGAATTTTTTCCCAGAAACGCCACAAATGCTTCGAAATTCGAGCTGACAAACGAGACCGAGTTGCTTTACATAAATCTAAAATAGCAGATTCCACGACAGGGAAGTCAACAGTCATGAATCTCTCAAATCGCAGTCCTCGAAAATTGGCGGAATTACCATGAAGTGTGATCGAACGTCGACTCCAGCGTCTTGTTTAATAACCAGAGCGGAAGTCTCTGACCAGTGTGAGTATACGACCCGAAATCAAGAGTATTAGTGACCTTCCGATACTTTGAAGCCGTCATTGCTCTATTAGATGGCGCACACGAAAAGTCCAAAGTACCTGAGAAGCTATATACAGTATTTTCATAATATCGTTTTATTGGAACCTGAAATGTTATTATATGAATGTCTCGATGTTGCGGTGTTACAGAAAATCCTCCATTCTTTGCGCTAGACCAGCGTTCGGACACGCCTGAGTCACCGTTTAGAAAGCCGAGGATGTTTGTTTTTTTTTTTTCATCTCTTGCACTTTCCCTGGACCCGTGGTCCGGATCCTACCGTAAACAAATGGGAGCCCCGACGTGACGGTCGGCGGCGGACACTTCTCGGTCGAGTTGTTTTCGCCGTTGTGGTCACCTTTGGATCGGCTAGTCTGCGGTCTGGCCGAGGCGGGGTTCGGTCGGTCGGCCCGGCGTCCCGCCCGTCCGGGCAAGGCTGTTGGACAGCGCGTGAAGGCTGTCTTGCGTCTGTTGTGGTAAACACGACGCACACGGGTCGGCCGGGCACTAGCGGGTCGCGTGGGAGGCGGAATGGAATGCCTGTGTAAGCGAGATATGGAAAATGCGGGTCTAGTTACGCTGAGAAAAGCGTTTGGTTGCGGATTTCGTTAAAAACGTATAAGTATATATGGGCCAAATTCGATACTTTGGGGGAGGGGAAAGGGGTTCTCCTATTCCCGAAAAGATAGAAAAAAATAGTTTAGACTTCATGGGTCCGAGAAAAGTTGAAGTTTTATTCTTAACTTTTCATTGTATCTTTAACAATAACGGAGAATAGAAGGTTGGCAATTTTCGCGTGACCACCCTGTACAAGATGATCCACAAATTATCTGAGAAACTTTGATTTGATAAATGCTTATTTATTCAGTATTACTGTGGTTTCCGTAGTACTCTTATTACTGTGGTTTATTGTTTATATCACAGTCTTGTAAGTGTTCAAAATGTCCTATGCGTATAGCAATGCAAAATTTATGGATATTGTTTTAATTTATAGCCAATTAAGGTGATATATGCAAAACGATTTCCGGTTAGACATGATGCCACTTTTACACAGGGCGCTAAACTCTCGAGGTACCCTCAAAAGTATATAGATTTGGCTAGATTTAAAACGTTTTTTTTTCCATCCTCGACGAAAAGAAAGGCATACATTTGTATAAATGTTTTAACACGAATATTTAATCTCCAGCCTGTTTTTTTTCTTTGCGCACACTGTAAATTCCCAATAGTGAAAAGGCGAACCTAGTCATTTATAAAACATCGTTTACCCAACGTGTCGTGTCGGCCTAGACAATCCCAATCGAAGGAAAATCGACGAACTCTGTCCCATATATACACGCAAATGCTTTTTTTTATCAGGCATAGGCCTACCGACCGTGCGTCAGCACCAGACACAACATGACTGATAGCACAATATCAATGGATCTGGCCGCCGATTCGACCTCATTACAGGTTACCCACCGTCTGACGCCGATTGCCTGCCTGCTCTCCATCGCACACAATGACTCTCTTCGTACAGTAGCAAGGATTTATTGTTGTTCCCATGTTAAACAACCGGCGGAATTAATGAAGATGAATTCGTCCGCGATTTTTTTTTATTTGACGTATGCGGCTCGTACAGA